CTAAGCAAATAGCCTCATGCCAAGCATGCTATCATGGCGGTCACTTACACACATGCAAGGATGCTAAAGCGAAAACACTTACAGTGTACTCCGAGCCAAAACAGAAAACTAGTTAGAAATCAATGCATGATCCTAGCTATGTTAAGATACCTAATGCAACACATGGAAAAATGCAACTAAATAGGCTCGGCTACTTAAGATGGCATATGAATGCAACACTCGATAACATGCTTTAAAACATGTATTCAAGTAAGTGTATTGGAAATACAATGCAGTTTGAATGATGCGCCGAGCCCGGTACATGCAAGACGAATGAATGATGCACACATGTAAGCATAAAGATACTAATTGAAATATGCCCTAAACTAACCATCAAAAGCTGATAAGTAAAAGGAAGGAAGAAATGGGGTTGGAAGACATGCACACATACACACATCCTTATTACAACATTGCGCCCTCGCGAAGGAGGGTCCGAATAATTAAGCTAAGCTAGCACTAAGCTAAGCTAATTATTACAAACCAATTAATTAACTAACTCTAGCTAATTAACTATTACAATCCAAATTGAAACAAATAGCTATGCTAAGCTAATTAGAATATTACAAAACAAATCAAATGACTAGTTACATGAACTAAACATAAGCAATGAAATGGCCTCGCGGGCGAGGGAGAGATGCATGCTCATTTGGCGCCATCCCGGAAATCCACTACCTTGCCTCAAGATGCCTCAGTTTGCACTCTTTTGGACTTTTGAAAATTATGCCAACTTCCAGAATGCTTCTATCTGATCTTAAGAACACTCTGGGGGATCATCAGCCAGAGTTGGTGGCCATCGGCCACTTCTGATGGCCGGTCGGCAGCATTTGTGGCCGGTCGGCTAGCTCTGATGGCTGGTTGGGCACTGCTTCCTGCAATTTCTCCTTTTGCTGTAACATAGCACAAACAAAGGCATAGCAGTGTATTTGCAAGGGAATGTGTGTGCAACCACACTCCTTGTCATGTCTTAAGCTCAAAGGAGTGTAATGTTCAGCTCTTAAACCGCCAATCACGCATCTCACTGCATAATGGCCAAAGAGCCAAGCTTGCACAATGTTAGTGAATGCACACATAAGACTCAAAGTGTCGTCACCCTATCATGCATAATCAAGAGTGACGACGACCAAGAAACGCAACACGTTTCATCACTTTAAGTATGAAACGTGCCACATTTCTTGTGTTTGGATTAACATCCGATCCAAACACAATGCAATGCATACAACATGCTTATCTACCAATGCTAAAGTGGCATGCACAAGGCTCTATCATGTAAGCAATACATACAAGTCATGCTAAGAGACCAAGAGCACTAAAGCAAACAAAAAGCATAACACTATAGGCATGCAATAGCAAGCACAAATGATCAAACCAACCCCGGACAGAGGTTAAACATGCCAAAACAGTGGCCTAATCATGTTGAATCTTAAGCTCAAAAGCAAGAAAAGCATGTCCATTTGATGGCTCACATGTAAGGCACAAAGCTCAACTCTCAAAAAGCACTTAAAGAGTGATTTAAATGGAAGCATGGCAAAGATATAAGTTCTGAAATCATATATCAAATGATGCCATATCATACAAACAACCCAAGCAAAGCATGCTAGTAGACTCAAAACTTAAGACTAACAAAGCCAACTATGCCATAGCTATACAAAACAAGCCATACATGGCCAAGACCACTTGGAATAGAGTTTAAGCATGCTAAATCATGGCCAAAAGCATGCTGAAATATAGCTAAAACAAGCTAGAACAATAGGCAGAAACACTAAGCATGCAAGGCTAATGAGTGAGATTGCACTACAAGTGCGAAGAGCAAGTAACCAATGATCAAACAAGCCAAAAATAGAGTTATGGTAGGTCTAAAAACTCACAAAAATATGCTTGAACAAAGCCATAAAGAAGTAGAAACACATACTTATTTGGTACGTGATCAACACATGCAAACAAGATACAAAGGGGGGGGGACCACCCCACCTATTTTGGGTCCCAAAACACACTTTCCACCACTGAAACTCCTCTGGAATTCAGTGGTGAAAAGGCCAAACAAAGGTGATCTTAAAGGTTTTAAAAGATAGCTCAAAGCAAAGCAAAACAAGCCACAAGAGGGGGTAGATCACCCCTAACTCAAACAAGGCCTTGAACAACCATTCTTAACACTCAAAAATAGAACTTTTTGTAGTTGTAAGTTAGGCCTAAAACAGCATGCAAAGAGGGTCAAACTAATGATCAAAATAGAGCTTTTAAGAGGGACTAAGGCATTACCTTTAAAGCACAGCAACAACAGCACCACTTTTGAGCCAAAACCAGCTTTTTGATGTCCAAACAAACCTTATGGAATCTCAGCTCCAAGGTCAAGATGATTGGCTAAGGGGTTGTTGGCAAAATATGTGAAGAACACTCACTTTCAAGCAATATATATATATATATAGAGAGAGAGAGAGAGAGTAAAATTTGCTTCTAAAACATCTGAACCTCTAATAAGGGGGAGGGATCTCCCCTTATATAGAAATACAAGCCTCAAGTTTGTTTGACAAGCTCAGAGCTTTTTTCAATCCCTCCATACACGTGTATGGAGGATGGCCTCAATGCCCAACAGCTGGAACAGCTGGCACCAAAAATATCTACAAAAGCAGAAAAAAAGGCTTCGACCAACACATGTGGCCGACCGGCCATTAACGAGGCCGACCAGCCATCAGTGAGGCCAACCGGCCACAACTGATGGCCGATGGAAAAAAAGCTTGGCCGATGGGCTGTAGGGCTGGCCAACAGGCCATCCTCTTCCCTCAAAAACAAAGTCACAAGCTCTTGGTACGCAACCAAGTACAAAACAGACAAGTTAAGAGGTCCGAAGGCAAGGCACTCCACCAAGACCTTCGGGTACTCAAAACGAACACGAATATAGATAATCACCGAGTGTTCAAATGATGACGTCCAAGTCTTGAGGACGGTCAAAGATGGAGTGTCTACACCTAGTTTCTTTATTATTTGTCACTTCTTCTATTATTTTTTACATTGTTTGTTACACAATCTATACTTCTCTATTGCTTGTAAAACAATATTATGAAACCAATGGAAGTTTAAAATCAAGTAGAAATATGCCTAATAATAGCAAAAGCAGTATTGAAATTGGAACAAAGTAGAAGTTTTGAGAATAATGAAGATATTTGAAGATAAAAATGAACTATGATAAACTTGTGTTGAGATTCTTATTCAAATTTGTCTATAAAAGCAATTGCTTGCTAGATGTATTTGGAGGTATGTCAATTAATAAAGAAAATAAATACTTATTTTATTTGGCTTAAATTATTTGTTATTCTATTTTGCCGGTATTTTCTCTTTATTTCTTTAGTTTTATAACAAGATTGGTATTATTGTGGACAATAATTATGTAATATTATAAAAGTTTTGCTAATAACAATCTTAGGCCTCGTTTGGGAACATATTTTTTTAATTTTTTAGGTAAAATATGATTTAAAATAATTAGTATGTTTGGGATGACTTTTTGATTTTTTAGGAAAATATGTTCAAAAAGTAGAGAGAAAATGAAATGTTTGACTATTTGGCATAGGTTGTTGACTTTTTGATTTTTTTAGTAACTTTTTGACTTTTTAACTAAAAAAATCACTTGCCAAACGAGACCCTAGAGCTTCCCAACAAATACCCTATTATTAATTTTTAACTATTTTAGGAAGTCAGAATTTTAAAAATCATCCTAATTTACTCCATAAAAAAATTCCTAATTTAACAAATGCTACAATGACACCCTATATATGAGGAGTTAGAGCATCTCCACCAGAATCCCTAAACTCCCTCCTTACCTATTTTGCCTCTGTTTGGGAAGATGGTTTGGGTGGATTTGTGGCTATTATAGTCACAAAAAATAAAATATATTTTTTAACTCAATAAGACAAAATATCACATCCAACCTATAAATCATTATATTCTTTTCCTCACAAAGAAGTCAAAAAAATCAAAAGTCCTTCCCAAATCAAGCTTTTTAACCCCAAGTTAAAATAGTCCCAAAAAAACCAAAAGTCAACTCACTTTCCACACGAAAGCTTAAAGGAGTAGATGGCTCCCTGTACACCTGCATCAGCTCCCCTAAATAATTCTCTAAATTAATTTTTGCTACAGTGACTCCCTATTTGTAAGGAGTTACTGTAGTGAGTCACTGTAACTCCCATATATATATATATATATATATTATTTAGGAGATTTTAATAGAATAGAAAAAAAAAGGAACTTGTTAATAGAATAGAGAAAGAATAGAGAATTTGTTAAGAGAAATAGATGAAAAAATGATTCCTAACAAAATGAATAAATTTTTTAATAATATTTTAAGATAAAATTTAAATAAGCTCTCACTAATCATTCCCTAAACATATAATACTAATTTCTCTCTCCTCCTTTTTCTTTTACTCTCTCTAATCTAATTGTCACATCAATTTTTTTTAAAAAACAAGTTTAATTAAAAAAAAATAATAAAATAATATTTAAATAAAATATAGAAAAAATAAAAAGTATTGTTAGAGAAAATAATTAAAAGGGTGATCATCCAAAATAATGAATGCAAAATTTGAGGAAAATATAAGTAACATTATTGACTATCAATAAAAAATATTAAATGCCAAAAATTTTATAATTAAAATATACTATTTATATATTTCAAAATATTTTTAGACATTTTAATGTACTTTTATTCATTTTTTCACCACTAAGTCCTAACGTTTTTAGCATTTCCGTATTACAAATTTAAGCAATTTGATACTACTTACCCACATTTAAATGACACCGTTCATTTCTCCAATAAATTAAAAAATTAGCATAAATGGGTATTTTATCTGAAAAAAAAAAAAAAATTTGTCACCAATTATATATCACGTTATACTTGAGATTAGTTCTTTCCAAAAGATAAGAATAAAAAAAATTACAGTAAATAAAAGAATAATGTTAAAAAATGGTAAAAATAAAAAAATAAAAATAAAAAGCCATGACATTGCTTTAGAAATGCTCGATCCAAGTTGTACATCAAATTTTTCAACTTTATGATGTGGTGATCAAAATGGGTTCACCAATAGGAAGTAGGCACGAACATGCAACCTGTTTGTTACTCTAATTTTATTAAATGTCACTGGGTGGATTGATATGTATCAACTTTGCAGCCTGACCTAAAACGTCCTTTAAAAACGCTCCTAGCAGCGCGTATTCTTCAAACGCTCTGACGTCAGCTTTGCACCTCAACAACTGTGGAAAAAACAGCCAAAAGCCGGTAACCATCACAAATGCAACGGTCAGCGGCGTCGAGATCAGCCGAGGGAACTGGCACCTGCCGGTCAGCACCTTCTTGATCGCGATCTCAACCATCACACACACCCCGTGGAGTAAGAAAAACCACGTGATCTCCCACGTGGGCCTCGAGCGGCCCAAATAATAGAATATGAGCTCGTGCATTAGGGCCGACACCACGAAGGTACTGAGCACTGCAGGCAAAGGGGCCCATCTTCGGCCCACAATTCGCGTTGCTACGTAGAGGACCGGATCGTATACGGTGGGGCGCAGAGTACGCGTGACCATGAGGTTCCACCTTCGTCCCCAGAAGTCTTGCAGAGATGTGGAAAGGTACGGGTCGTTGAACTGTGGTTCTAACTCTAAACCCAACATGGCTCGAGCCAGGGCTGCCACCATGGCTAGCATGATCTCCAACATGAAGTATATGTGGAAGCAATAGATGATCAGTATGATCTTTGGATGTATGTGGTCACTGTACTGATAGATTTGCAGAAACAAACCCACAAGAACACCCTTTATAGCATAATTCCAAAGCGATTTCTGGCCTTTTTGGGTGGTTTTGGGAGGTAGGTTTTCTCTACTATGGCCATTTTGTGATGGGTTTTGGGTGGACTTGGGAGCTGGGTTTTCTTTATTATGGCCATTTTGAGATGGGTTTTGGGTAGATTTGGAATTGGGAGGTGGGTTTTGTTGGATCTTGATTGGGAAACAACCAATTGCAATAAATTTGGGGAGAGAGAGAGAGGGGTCTGAGAGAGGGCCTTTGTGAAAGGCAAACAAGAGGAGTTTGAAAGTGGCAAGCCAAGATATGAAGAAAGCACTTGTGCCTCCAAGGTGCATAGAGTGGAGATTAAGAGGAAGAACTAGAAAGAGAGAGAGCAGAGGGATGAATGTAAAGAATCTAGGTAGACCTTTGGGGACAACCTTAGCTGAAACATAGCAGTAGCAGAGAGATACAATCACTGAAAGCCATACCTTGACGAAGTTGCTGATTTCCCACTCTAAGGTGTGGTTCTTGTAGATCTCAACCTCCATCTCTCTCCCAGCTACACCAAGGCCTGTGTCTCTCCTTTGATTTATAGCCCCCGTTTGGAATGAAAGTTAAAAAAATTATGTTTGAGATAATTTTTAATTTTTTTTTAATAGAATAGGTGATTGTTAGAGAAAAATAAAATAAAATAATTATGATTAAACGTGATATTTTATTTTATTTATTATTTTAATTAAAAAATTACATCTCAAACGAGCCAACTATTTATCAATGTGCGTCTCACGGGAGGGACTAAACCAAATAAAAATACCTAAATATGGCACCCCAAATAGGAGTCATTAATGAGATGGGTTGGGCCTACTTAGTTTGTAATTATTGTGTCTAAATTTATGTTTTGATAAATATTTTGAATTTGAGTTGTGTTACAGGCCTCGAATGTTGATGGTTGTTCGGCTAGTCATCTAGCCGGTTGTCCGGTAAAGAGGTTGACAGTCGTGGTCGACAATGTGACAACTATGGTAGACAAGGGCTTCACCCGGTCGGTCGGGTGGTCGTCCGACCGGTCGTCTGACTGGTCGATTGGTGACCACAAATTCGCGCCTGAAACTCTTGAGGCCTGAAGCATTAATGTTTAGATTTTGGCCAGTCAACGGTATGGTACAAGTTGGGACTATTTAAAAAATTAAAATTATGTCTCACCCATAAGTTCAAATCTTACAAGTTAAAATCAAACCGAATTAGGTTACATATTTTTCATTACACTTATATTATTAAGTTCTATACATTTTTCATTCACATATTTTTAACATTTTTATTAGTTAATTTTTATTTTATAATTCAAGTATTATGATTTTTTTTGTTTACCTTTTCCCATCTCATAATTCAAGTATTATGATTTTTTTTGTTTACCTTTTCCCATCTCATATGATCAAAAAATAATCAAGTAACATAAAATACCTACAAGTGGAGGGGGGGAAACGCCGGAAAGACAAAAAAAAAAAAAACACTAAACATTAGACCCCAAAAAATAAACTAAACATTAAATTTACATATGCGGGTTCTTATGAGCTAGGTTTATGGGCGAGTTCGGGTTATAAACTTTTGTCCAAGGCCCTAAATTATGTTTTATGGGTTGGGATGGGGCACCCAAGCGGGTTGGGATAGGCCATGGAATGGGTTGGTTGGGTTGGGTAATATCAAGTTTTTTGTCCGTGGGCCATTTTGGGAACCCAAGCACCAAATAAATAACTTCTTAAAGAGGATATGATGAAATTAGGGGTGGGCATCGACCCGCTAAACTGCCTAGCCTGCCCAACCTAGCCCAGCCCTATTTTTGTAGGGTTTAGAAATATTATTCTAGTCCATAGGGATGGATTGTGTTAATATTTTCAATTCGATTGATTAATGGATTAGGTTTGAGATTTATATTTTTGGTTTGGTTTGGCTCAGCCCGACCCGGCCCGCTACATATTTAATTTAATTAATTAATTTATATAATATATTGAACATGTATATACCATTTTATTGTTAGCCATGTGAAAATGATCTAGATCCCCAGTGGGGTGACCCCCAGAGCCCCCAGTGGGCTGTGATTAGTCAATTTTTTTTTTTTTTTTCCTTCTTCAACATCAATCTCTACGTGTGTATAGAGTGGGGAGTGAGCGTCTCAATCACGTTTGTTATTGAACACTGACTACTACAGGGAGATTTCTGTACCTGAGTCACACTATATTTCTTTGCGACCGGGTCAATGAAATGTATTTAGGCCCACATTGGGTCCCTCCTATTTAATTAATAAATTACCTAATAAGAGATTTGATATTTACCTAAGTTCATCCAACTTAAATATTCAGGTCTATATAATCAACTCAAACTTAGGCCAAGTTTGGGGACTTTAAAAAAAGTCAAAAAATCAAAAAGTTACTTAAAAAGTTAAAAAATTAACACTATTCATCAAAAGTCAACAATTACGGCTGCACAACTCCCAATTCAAATTTTTCCCTAAAAATCAATTTTTAGGGAAAAATTTGAATTGGGAGTTGTGCAGCCGTAATTGTTGACTTTTGATGAATAGTGTTAATTTTTTAACTTTTTAAGTAACTTTTTGATTTTTTGACTTTTTTTAAAGTCCCCAAACTTGGCCTAAGTTTGAGTTGATTATATAGACCTGAATATTTAAGTTGGATGAACTTAGGTAAATATCAAATCTCTTATTAGATTATTTATTAATTAAACAGGAGGGACCCAATGTGGGCCTAAATACGTTTAATTGACCCGGTCGCAAAGAAATGTAGTGTGACTCAGGTACAGAAATCTCCCTGTGGTAGTCAGTGTTCAATAACAAACGTGATTGAGACGCTCACTCTCCATTATATACACGTGGAGATTGGTGATTGAAGAAGAAAAAAAATATATATATTCTGACTAATCACAACCCACTGGAGTCCTGGGTCACCCTAGTGGGATTTGGAACATTTTTATACAAATATATGTCAATTTTGGCAATTCAATAAGATGTTGCCACGTAATCAGGTTCTTTAACGTTGTGTTTTGTTGGAGGATTTGACGAGGGATTTGGAAAGAGAAAGGAAAAAATTAGGTGAAATGTGAATAAAGTATACTTATATTTCACCTAGTTTCACACACGTTTTTTCTTTCTTTTTCCAAATTCCTCATCGAATCTCCCAACCAAACACAACATTAGAGTCTTCTGAAGACCGAACCGAAGCAGAGAAAAACAAAGCATGGTATAAAATAAGGGTGGGTTGTTGGAAAATAAAAATTGACATGTGAAAACAGGTGATGGCATGAAGAACCGTTGGGATTTATGTTTGACGAACTTTTTAATTTTTAATTCGCTAATGTTGATTTTGTTATGGGTATATAGGTTCTTCTATATCTCCCATTTGCCTAGTATTGTTGACTTTAATTTACATGGGGAACTTTTTTTTTTTTTTTTTTTTCGTTGTAAATGGGATATTTATCATGTAATATCTTATTTAAATATGTTTAATTTAGTTTATGTACATTTTTTTTTTTGACAATATGGGTGTAACAAACAATTAGTGACGAGATACGAGTACTTAATTTTTTTGAAAAGTCTCAAATCAACTGAATCGTAGGGGAAAAAAATTCTTATTCTCATGGTGTGCAAGTTTATCGTGTGTAGGCTATAAATACATTCTTGTGTCGAATGCAAGTTTTATATTTAAAAAATTAAGGTAATTCTATTTATATCACAAAATTAATTCCTTATACCTTTTTTTTCTACACACTTCCAGTAAAGTCAAAATTTCTCTCATTTCTCATTACACTTGCCATAATACCAGACCTATCCTTATCTTCCCAGACCTAAACCCAAACCCAATCCCTAGCCTCCACTCCCAACCACTACCTTCGGCAACCAACTCGCAGTCTTTCCTTCACTGGCGATAATCCTTCTCCCCATGTCCGACCAACACAAGCCGTCTTTTTCTTTTCTTTTTTTTTTCTTTGTCTTATTTTGGAAATCTCTTCCTTGCTTTCAAGGCAGTGTAAGGAGGTGGTGCTAGCTTGCGATTGGGATGGGTAAAGCACAACGAGAGAAGGGGCAAAAGAGGGGAGAAAGGGCAATGACAGGTGATAGAGGACGGCCGATGAGCAACGGACGACGGGAGGGTTCATTGTTTGAGAAAGGGGTTAAAGAGAGATACCGTCAATGGGTTTTGGCACCATAGATGGAGGAATTGACAGAGGGGCTCGCCAGAGATGAGAGGTGGCCGCCGGTGCAGTTGCAGTGGTGGTAGCCGAAGAAATTGTGGTGAAAGGTGGGTTAGAGTTAGAATCTTTAGGGATCTTTTGGTAATTTTGAAAAGAGATAAAAGTGTAATTAAAAAAATTTACTGTAAGGACATTCATTCTAAACCTCTTTACGCTTTATGTTATTCACTGGGTTTTAGCTCACTGCTCATATATATATGTAGGTGTCCAGGCACCAGATCGGAGCTAGGAGCGTCAGGGTAACTCCAGTTTTGTCAAGCCAGCCTTTGTGCCTCACTGCGAGGTTCCGAGTTGCCATGCTATGGCTTGGGGGTGTTTTGTTTGTTTTTCCCCCGCCTGTCTCCATACTGTCTGACTGTTCTGTATAGACTGACTGTTACCGTACTGTTATCAAGGGATTAGGTCCCTGTACTGTGTGATTGTAAATTTTGTATAGACCGTACTGTGTTGTACAGACGGAATGCTTTCTGTACTGTTTATGTATGAATGCATGAAAAATCTTTTTGGCATACAGACTGTCACGGCTCATTGGACATTGTTTATTTACTGTATTGGCTTCCGCCAGGCCCTGTACTCTGTTTTACTGTATTACTGTTAAGCAGGCCTTCGGTAATCTCGGATTACTGGCCGGTTACGGTACTAAACCCATAGGGCCGGGTTTGGGTCGTGACAAAGCCGGAAGCATTAATGTTTAGATTTTGGCCAGTCAACGGTATGGTACAAGTTGGGACTATTTAAAAAACTAAAATTATATCTCACCCATAAATTCAAATCTTACATGTTAAAATCAAACCGAATTAGGTTACATATTTTTCATTACACTTATATTATTAAGTTCTATACATTTTTCATTCACATATTTTTAACATTTTTATTAGTTATTTTTATTTTATAATTCAAGTATTATGATTTTTTTTGTTTACCTTTTCACATCTCATATGATCAAAAAATAATCAAGTAACATAAAATACCTACAAGTGGAGGGGGGAAATGCCGGAAAGACCAAAAAAAAAAAACACTAAACATTTGACCCCAAAAAATAAACTAAACATTAAATTTACCTATGCGGGTTCTTATGAGCTAGGTTTATGGGCGAGTTCAGGTTATAAACTTTTGTCCAAGGCCCTAAATTATGTTTTATGGGTTGGGATGAACTAGGCACCCAAGCGGGTTGGGATAGGCCATGGAATGGGTTGGTTGGGTTGGGTAATATCAAGTTTTTTATCCGTGGGCCATTTTGGGAACCCAAGCGCCAAATAAATAACTTCTCAAAGAGGATAGGCTGAAATTAGGGGTGGGTATCGATCCGCTGACCTGCCTAGC